TGAGTACAGGAGAGAGAACCAGGAATGGCACCCCTCCAGGTGAGAGCCAAGCTGAAGTGGCTGGGCTCCACTGCTGCAGAAATGAAGCTGAGGTTTAACCAATGAGCTAAATGATCCTTGTGTTCATGGCCTGATGTGATTCTTCCACATTAGGGGGGGTGGAGAGACCCCTGGAAGAATACTAGAAATATAGTGGTAACTGTTCATTTTGGAGCCTGTTCTGCCCACGAGAAGTTGCTATGTGACTGTCATACAAGATTAAATGATATCAAGTAGACAAAGCAGTTAGCTCTTATCCCTTTTTGCTCTTAGAACACCTCTATTTCAGAAAGTTTTGACTTCAGTGCCCATGTCATGGCAGAGAAATCTTTCCAATGCAGCTTCAAGTGAATGCGGCAGTGCTAAGAAACAGGATTTCCTCTGGCACAAGGAGCCAGGGGAAGGGGGTGGGGTTGTAGCTCAGTGGTAGAACTCTTGCCTAGCATGTGTGAGGCACTGGTTTCGATCCTCAGCACCATGTTAAAAAAAAAATATTGTTGTGGATGGACACAATACTAACAGAAAGAGCCGGAGGAAGTACTTAAAGATATTTCAAGGACAAGGATTCAAAAACCTTGCAACACTGGGTGATCTCTTTTGAGGGCAACATACTTTTCGTTCCTGGATTCAACAATAATTTGCTGACAAGATAAAAGCCCCCCACCACTACAGAAAGAAAAAAGTATGCAACCACCTAAAGCTAAAGTCTACAATTCCTCAAACTAACTGGCTTCCTAGGGTGAGGTGTCACTCCAGGCAAATCTATATAGCACCACCATCCAAGGAGAAGGTGATATACTAAATGATGTTTTGGTTGTTGGGCCTGTTTCCTACAGCCATGCCTCAAGATCTAATGCTTCTACTGACTATTTAAGAGCCCAGAATGCTTGTAACATCTATTATGCTTATGACACAGAGGCAAAGTAGTTATGCTAGGGAAGAGTCTGTTCAGAGCACTCACAGTAGGACCAAATTTTTTAAAAATTTAGATTTATAATACCTATATACCTATGTTTGAACCGAGAGGATGTACTTAAAGTGACAAAGACAATTTTCCATGTGGGCACTGAAGGCTCAGAAGATCAGCACCTCACCAGAGTCCTAGGAGTATGGCTGCTACTTATGGAGGAGGTTTTTCAAAGTACTTGTCCTGTTCCATCATCCCCTCCCAGCAAGATTAGTACTGCCTGTTGGCTCAAAAGGGAAGGATTGTGATATCAGCAATAGGAGGTAAGGATTTCCCTAGTTAAATCATGCAGTGACTGTTTTGGATACATCATCAGATATTCCCTCCTACTTAAGGAGGAAGCAAATTAATTTAACAATAATTAGCTAGAAATTAAGTCCTAAAGTCTACAGTGAATACACTTCTGATAATATTTCTATTTGAATGACAGAATAGCATTCCCCAATTTTAAACTAAAGGATTTGCTCTTTTCCAATTTGGAACATCATACATGGTTAACACACTTTCTATATGTAACAGTTAAAGAGCAAATTTATCTTCACATACTGTCTGTGTATAAACCAAGAATTTCTTTTTGATTTAATTCCAAGTAAGTTTTCATTTACAAAGAGGAGGGTGGAAAGTAGGTCAGCCAGCTCCTTTGCTAAAGGTCTCTTTCTGCTCTCCTAAGTCCAATAGCTGCTGTTTCCCTGCTTAGTTTTCCAGCACAGAAACACTTCTTGCTCCTCTTCCTCGAAGCAGCATGTCTTGGCTAAATACACATTTGTTCTAAAATAGGGAAGGTCCCAAACAATTCTAATCATATGCACCCTTAGTAAATCAATTAAGACCCTTTCCACCCAAAAAAAGATGGGACAGTGAAGTCTTGTCATCAAGTAGGAATTGTCAAACTGGTCTGCGTGGGTAACAGATCCCACAGAAATAGCAGAGCAAGTGGACACCTGAGAATTTTAAGTTGCTCTAAAGAAATGAAAAGATCTCCCCAAGATGTCAAGACAGCGAGGCTACAGCTGAATTAAAATTTCTAATAGCAGTTTGTTCACATGAAAGGGGAAGTGACGTTTTGGGGCTATATTATATAGTCTGACATCTAAGTTCCACCTTTAGAAAATAGAGATATCATCAGATTGAAAATGTGCAGGGTACTCTTAGCCATCTGCATTCCAAAAGCCAGAGATGGACAGCTGTGTAGAAGGAAAAGTTGGAAAACAATGCTCCAGGTAACCTACACCCACTGTACTCAGAACTCTCAATGGATCCATGTGGTCAGCTCTGTTCCACACCAGGGAGATATAGAGCTTGGGTTCTAGTAGCGCTCTGGCACTCAGCATGAATAGCAAAGTTTGGTTACTCACCTGGGACAACCCATCTAAACTTTCCCTCCCTGCTCTAAAGGGAGAGCAGTGTATGCTGAGTTTGTGAGCTGACTGCATAGGGCAGAGGTGAGGCTGAGCTAGGAGTCACTTTAATAAAAGAAAGGCAATATTTTAGAGGATTGTATACCTCCTGAAGTCAGACCCTTTCAGTTGGGAAAAGCAACACAAAAGGCAACAAGGTTTTTCTCTAACACTGGCATATTTGTTTGCAAAGAAAGAAAAAAACAAGCTCACCATAGAGTACAAGAGATAAAGAAAACAATAGGCTGCCGTGGCCCAAAGATCTGAGAATTCATTCTGCAGGGAAGATGAGGATGGCGCAAGGTTAACTGTTCGTCTGTACTACAAACAAGACGATGTCCATGCAATACTTCTCACCAGTGAGGTAGATGATCATCTTCCTGCTAGAGGTATTGGGTACTAACCCATAGCGCAGTGGAACAGCATGATCTGCCTAAAAGGCATAAGCTATTCCAGGAGCCATATGAGATACACATAGGTGCCCCACCGAAATAAACAAGTTACTCCAAGAAATCTTAGCCCAAGGGAGATGGACTCTTGTCCTAAGGCCTGTAAAATACCAGCTTGCCTTGTTTTAAGACACAGAAATTTTCACCTTACAATTCCACAAGTGGAGCCTGCCTCTGTCCGATAAACTTCCTGCCACCATGGGAATCTGAACAGGAGGGAAGACTGCAACCAGGACGAAAAGAGGGGTTCCAAAGCAAAAGTTTAAAAGTAGGTCAAGTTTAAAATTATATCAAGGAGGTAAGAGATGGGAAGCAAAGGTTTAGTAAGCAGGGACAGGGTGAGAGGAAAGGAAGAAGCTTCTGAGATGATGTTCCTTACAATGAGATGACAAGAGGTGAGATTGTCCTGCCATTACTTCCCATGTAAGTCACTCAGCTCCACATCATCCTTTCGGCGCTTGTGAGCAAAGAGGGAGGTGACAGGGTAGAGTTTAGCCTTAGCCTGGAACCGGTGGCCTGCAATGTCAATTTCATATTCTCCCCGGTTAATGAAATCAGTGGTTACCACCTCCTCTTCACCGCTGTCTTCTGAAAAATTGTGCACAAAGCCGAGGCACACATGGCGCTCCAAAGTATAGCTATAGGCACTGCTGGTGGTTTTGCCAACATACTGCCCGTTCCGGAAAATAGGCTCTCCCCACCAAGGCCAGAGGTCCAGGTCTGTGTCATGGTCATCCAGAATGAACATGGTGAAGCGTTTATACACCCCATTTTGTTTCTGCTGCAGCAGAGCTTCCCGACCAATGAAATCCATGCCCTAGAAAAGAAAAGAAAAGCTGAGACTCCTCTCTATTATCTGACCCTTGGAATATAGCACCCTCACCCCTGTTGGGTTTTGGGAAATGGCATGATTACAACTATATGAAAAGCTGCATTCATAGTACAGAAGTTACAGAATTTTTGTAACAAAAGCATACATTTTTCTTTTTTATAAGCAGTTTATATTGCAAAACCACACAGAACAAAAATACATGCTGGAGGGGTCTGGAGTTGTGGCTCGGTGATAGAATGCTTGGCCTAGCACATGTGAGGCACTGGGTTTGATCCTCAGCACCACGTAAAAATAAATAAAAAGAAAGGTATTGTGTCTATCTACCACTAAAAAATATTAAAAAACAAATACTTGCTAGAGTTGTTTTAGAAAACAAAGTCTGTGCATGTCTACATCAATGCATACCTTTATAATATTTTTTCATCAAGAAACATTAATTGCTCAAAAAGAATACAATAGATCATGCACTATTAGGGAACCCGTGCCAAGATATTTGTTGTAAAAAAGATGCATACAATATGCCACCACCTAGATTAAGGTTGGGACAGGAAATTACACCCAGGCATTCTTGCACTGTCACTCTCTTAAGAGTAAACAAGAAACTGCTTCTTTTGGCAAAGGGGATCAGAGATTGAGCGGGCTTAAGAGGTAAAAGACTAATTTTTCAAAGAACCTTCTGAAACTATGGTTTTCCAAGAAAAAAAGACTATAGTCATCTTATAGTACATTACCTAATCACCAATCAACTCAGAAAAACTTCCCCCAGAGCGCCTAGTCCTTTAGTGCATTCAGGGGCATGTTATCTGAGTATTGTTCTAAAAGATGTTTATCCTATAGGCAAGTCTTCTGCCCTGAGGATACATCCTGATTGAAGAAGTGTAAAAATACAGGTCAGCCACATCAGCTCTTCTTCAGTGCTCAAGAAGCTGAGTGGTGGGGCTGGGGTTGTGGCTCAGTGGTAGAGCACTTGCCAAGTATGTGTGAGGCATTGGATTTGATTCTCAGCACCACATGTAAGTTAATAAAATAAAGGTCTATTGACAAAATTACAGGACAGTCTGGATTAATACCGTACCTTCTCTAATTTCACCCAGGATTCCCGTCCACATTCCAGGGGCGTGGTGAGGGTATTCAAATCCTGACCCCAGAAGGCGAAGAACTTCTCAATTCGGAGACTGCGAAGAGCATAATACCCAGCATTCCGGATTCCATATTTCTGTCCAACATTCATCACTTCATTGTATACGTGCAGAGCATACTATTCAAAGAAAGGAAAGGTTAGTAACCAGCAGATCTTCAGAATTAAACATAGATATCACCACTTCCAGATGTATTCCAACACTAATGTGGACTCTGGAGAGCAGATTGAGCCCTTTGATCCTGGAAAATATTTCTTTGCCAAAGCCGAGGATGTTAACTGATAGCATCAGAGCTAAGTGTTATCAGATGTCTCAGTATAGTGGGTTTCCTGGGCACAGCAGAAAGTTCCTAGCACTGCTATTCTAGGATAGCTGCAAAAAAATGTTTCTAACTCTGTAACTTTCTAGTGCACAAAGCAACCTCTGACAACTCACAAGCCTTAAACAATTTATAATGCCCCTATAGTTTAACTTCCTGATGATGAGACTATACAATAAATTTACAGAGCTAGTTCTGGGTCACTGTTCCTCCATCAGAGTGCAATGTCCCACCTTTATGTGATAGTGTCTCTTTTTTTCCTCCAGTCACCCCTATGTGAGAATCCTTTGTTGATGCTGCACAGGTTGCAGCAGTGGACAAGAGAGGGATCATAGAAAACTCCTAGGATATCTTGCCCTCAACAAAGCATGGCACTAGAGCCCAGCAGTAATGAGCTGGGGCCACTCCACCCTACAATGTAGTTTCCACAAAGGCAGGACCCTGATCTTTCACTTCTCAAAAATGCAAGGTGATTTCAATATATAACAGTTATTAAAGCACTCTCACCATTTGGTAAATAACGAATTTTATAATTGTTTCTAAAATAGTCCAGTTACCCTCTACGGTTTTTCTACCTTTTTCTCTTTTGCCATTCCCTCATGCACTGGCCCAAAGCTGAAAAAATAGGCTTTTACCCATAATTCTAGATGTGCATGCACACATCTAATTTTTCATAGATTATGGCATATTTCAGGAGGAAGAAAAACTGTTACCTCCAAATAGTAAGACTTAACCCTGGAAATCCCAGTCTCAAAAACTAAAACAAGATAATTTAGTAGGGAAATAATGCACAGCTTAAGTGATCAATTCATGAAAACATAGTTTTTATGAATTGATCACTTAGAGAACCCCCCCCCCCCATTCACAGTAGCAACAAAATATTAAAGAACTGAATAAAAAATACAAGATCCAAGTCTTGGATTGCCAGATTCACTACATCACATGAATGTCAATTCTCACTTGAGAAACATAATACAACCCCACCCCACCCCGCCAAAATGCCAATAGTGTTTCTTGTTTTTGAGACAGTCTAAGTTGCCTAGGCTGGCTTCAAACTTAACAATCCTTCTCCCTCAGCCTCTCACGCAGCTGGAATTACAGGTACATTCCTGGCTCTTTTTGTAGTACTGGGGGCTTCACACATAGTACGCCAAAGGAAAACAGAATTTTTTTTTTTTTTGGTGCTGGGGATTGAACCTAGGGCCTTGTACATGCGAGGCAAGCACTCTACCAACTGAGGTATATCCCCAGCATTTTTTTTTTTCTCCAGAGTTTTCCACTGCAAGAAAAGGTAAGCATTAACAAATATAAAAATCATATAAACAGATATACCAATAGAATAGAAAATCCAGAACCAAACCCAAATAGGATTTAGTATATGATAAAGGGAGCCATGTGGAAAAAGTCTGATTCAAAAAAATTCAAAACTCATAATATGCACTAAGAGACTAAAAGGATCAAGCATCTTAAGTATTTTTTAAAAGCCCAAATCATAAATAACAAAAATATATATAACCTTAGAGTAGGAAGGTCCCTTCTAAAATGAATCAAAAGTCCAGAAAGAAAATATTGAATTAAGAAAATATTGAAGAATTCAAGTAAATAAATTTTAATTTTTTGAAATTTAAATGAAACTTTTTCTGTAATAAAATTTTTTAAAAACGCTCCTATTTGGCAAAATGGAGGGCTGGAGGTATATAGCTCACTGGAAGATTGCTTGCCTAGCATGTGTAAGATCCCAGATTTGTTACCCAGTACTGCCAGAACACCATAAATCAAATAAACTGGAAAAAAATTTGCAAGTGGACACCAAGGGCTATTTAACACAGAAAGAATGCCTGGAAACTGATTAAAAAGAGCAATAATACAATAGAAATATGGACAGGACATAAGCAGAAGAATTCAGTGAGTACTTACTATGGGGTAAGTACTCCCTTAGGTGACAGGAACAGAAAAGTTAACAGGACAATCTGATGAACCAAATCAAATTAGACAGTGAAAAATGCTATGGAGAAAAAAGGGAAGGACAGGGAGAACAGCAACTTGCAGTAAGGTCTCAGTGAGAGGTGACATGTGAGTAAGACCTGAAGGAGGGGAGGCTGTGAGCTTGAGGTTTTCTATCCAGGGCAAGATATGCCAAAGGAGGGAGGAGTTAAGTGTAAAATCTGGGAGGTTCCAAGACTAGAAAGAGGAAAAGAAGCAGAGAAGACAGTCCAAGGCCATGCAACAGGATGGAGGACACGTTGGGCCCCACAGACTGGCTTTTACTTGGATGGAGATGGAATTTGAAAAGCCAAAGGGAAATTAGAAATATACTGATGAGAATTATTTTGCCCCTAACAAACTGGCAAAAGCCTCAGGTCTGACAACAGATAACAAGGAAAAAAGACACTCTTACATACCACAGAATTTTAAAGACTGGAAATACTACAAATGTTTATTAGTGCTAGTCTAGTTAATTATGATTCAGCCTTAAGACTCAATATATTGTGTCACTGCTTAAACAAAAGCTTTCTCTTTAAGCGCTAATATAGAAAAATCTAGAAGATAAATTATTAAGTAGAAAAAAGCAAAATGAACATTATGCTTTCATTTGTGTTTTTAAAAGGGGACTAAGAGCTGGTTGGGGCAGTGCATGTCTATAATCCCAGCTATTGGGGAGGCTAAAGCAGGAGGTTTGAGGCCAGCCTCAACATCTTAGCAAGACCCTGTCTTAAAGGGGGGGGGGGGGGGGGGGGGGGGGGGGGGGGGGGGAAGTGCTAGAGTGGTTGGTAGCATGTATGAGACCCTGAGTTTGATTCCCAGCACCACCAAAAACAAATTAACAAAAAATGGGGGAGAGAGGGCTAAGAACTCCATCTTTAAAGTTGCTTGCATATACAAAAAAATCTCTTGATAGTACATACTAATACATTGGTTGTGGTTGGTAAGAACTGGTCAGACAGCACCAGTTTTATATATTTCACACACATTTGAATTTTTAAACCGTGTAAGTGTATTACCTATTAATTTAACTAACTTGGAAATTATGAAATCTCTTCCATGCAGCTGACCTCATGGAATTTCAAACTCCCAATCAGATACAGCTTTTCAAACCTGCTAATGCTTAGGAACTTTGGAAAAGCCAGCATTCCTCACAGTGGTCCCTAGAAAAGAAGGCTGAGCTCTCTTACCTCTATGGGGATATAAAGCATGAATCCTGGCTCTCCTGTGTGAGTCATGCTCATCACCCGGATCCCATTTGCGTAGCCCACACTCATCTCCTGCGGAGGAAAAGGCAGCAATCGGCGTTAAGTGGACACCATGTAGGCTTGACAAGGGAGTGAATGGCTCAAGGGAATACTTTCATTAGCACTGTACCCTTTGCTTTAACTAAGCAGACACAATCAAGGAAAGCATTTCATCCTGAAAATAAAGCACAGCCTTTACAACATCTCTTCTTATGAATATCACAATTTCTGGAGTTTTAGCATTTAGGGAAGTGACAGCAGTCTTTGATAAGCATGAAATATTTCTCTTTACCAACTCCTGCTAGAGATTTGAGTTTACCAGGCATGATGGCACATGACTATAATCCCAGTGGCTTGGGAGGCTGAGGCAGAAGGATTGTGAGTTCAATCAAAGCCAGCCTCAGCAATTCATTGAGGTCCTAAGCAACTCAGCAAGACCCTGTCTCTAAATAAAAATATAAGAAAGGGCTGGGAATGTAGCTCAGTGGTTAAGGCTTCTGGGTTCAATCCCTGGTACCAAAAAAAGAAAAAGACTTGGGGTAGTCAGGAGGATCTGAAGGCTAGACAAGTGTCTTTTCTTGGGGACTCTGGCACCTGCCATGTGTGGTGGCGCATGCCTGTAATCCCCACAGCTCAGGAACTGAGGCAAGGGAATCTTAAGTTCAAAGCCTCAGCAAAAGCAAGATTCCAAGCAACTCAATGAGACCCTGTCTCTAAATAAAATAAAAAATGGGAATGTGGCTCAGTGGTTGAGTGCCCCTGAGTTCAATTCCCAATTTCTCACCCATCCACCCACACCCCTGCAAAAAAAAAAAAAAAAATAGCTTGAGCCCTACAGAACACATTGCATCTGCTACCCTGGGATCAGAGTCTAAGCTTCTAATTTTCAAAACATGCTAGGTCAGCTTAGTTACCTAGGAGGGGTCACCGATTCAATCACTACCCAATAAAGGAATGTGCAACATCTCAGCATTGATGCAAACACTTCCATAGGAAGCCTGCCATGATTCAGCACTTACCAGGCACAGGCACATGGATTATTCCTTCTAGCAGCAGATTCTATTGTTTTTACTACCTTGCAAAGGAAGGAAAACTAGAATAATAGGAAAGTGGGTGACACATAAAATGTAGCCAACATGGTGATGCACACCTGTAATCCCAGCAACTTGGGAGGCTGAGGCAGGAAGTTTGCAAGTTCAAGGCCTACCTATGTTGCAAAATTTAAAGAAAGAGGACTGGGAATAGTTCATTAGTAAAGTGCCCCTGGGTGTAATCCCCAGTACCACAAAAAAAAATAAAGACATGGTCATTTTGTTTACTTAATAAAGGACAGAACACTTTGTGTTAATATTATAATAAGAATGTTATCTGTCACCACTATAAAAGAAATATTCTCTGCTCATGTGAAAACAAAACTATTTGCACATACCTTGCAAAAGAGAGTTGGGAAGTGGTCTGGAGTCATGGGGGCATAGGACAACTCGGACAGCACATCTACAGCTCGAGGACCAATTAGATTGAGGGCTGTGCAGAAAAGAGAGAGAGATGTCCAGCCTCTCCAGGTGAACAGCTGAGCCAATGCAAAAAGCTTGTTCTGAAACTGCCAACTGTGGCCTGGCCTGGCTGGTAAAATCACAAAAGTGTTCCTTTGCTTAGGCAATCCAGGAATGGATGTAAAGCACTCCCATTCTGGAAATGTGACAGTGCTAGCATGAAAGCCTGGTCAGTAGGTTTTTTAATCCCTGTTTTACAGGAAGACAACATTCTAGTCTCTACATTGACATCAGGTCATGAGACCAAGTCTAACCAAAGGGACACTTCCCCCTCTACACAATTCTCATTCTCTTTGTATTCCCAGTGAAGCTACAAGATGGAAAAAGCCCCAGTTCCAAATAAGTACCTGGAAGGGAGCTGCCCACCCATCCTAGGCTTACCTTATGCTAATTACACATCAGCTAACCTAGTACATGCTAGAACACAACTTCTGTTTTCTAAGAGTCTGGAGTTTGCCAACCTCATAGCAAGAAGTTAATCACATTTTCTACTAATGACAAATTGAGAATGAAGGCCTGGGAGAGTAAATACTGGCAGGAAGAGGGGGCAGGAGTCACATGGGAGGCAAGGAAGGAGGAGTTAAACCTAAAATGAGATAATAAAAGGAAGGGCTGGTTCCCCAACAGAAGCTGCTGAAGAAGAGAGAATCAGGAAATTAAGATGAAAATCTGAAGAACATTATATATTAATAAATATGAAAATTCCTTTAAAAGTTACTCATTTAACAAATATTTAAATGGAAACGAATAAAGTAGGGGAGGTATCAGATCAACTTTCTATGACCACAGAATCTCTCTCATGTTTTTTTTTAAGTTGTAGATGGACACAATACCTTTATTTTATTTGTTTTTATGAGGTGCTAAGGATTGAACCCAGTGCCTCACACATGCTAGGTAAGTGCTCTACCACTGAGCTCCAGCTCTGACATTCACTTTTAAGAATCCAAAAAAAAGGAAAATGTGGAAGACACTTTTGGATCAGTTGGCTTTTTTTCATTTGGCTGACCCAATAAAACCCTGTTACCAGTGTATTTCCAGGTGACATCCTCCAGCAGCAGGTTGTTGTCCTTCGGCATGTGTTTCTTAAGCCAGGCCCAACAGTGGACCTGTTGATCGGTTGGAGAGATCATGAAGAAACTGAAAATGAGACCCCAAAATGATCAAATTTAGGTAGCAGAGAAAGCATCAGGAAGCATTAAGTTCTCTAGTTTCAAAGGCCCATTGAGTATACTGGGAAATGATGCTTTAACTTTGTTGAAGGGTCTGCAGCATCATTATGGAATAAACAAAAAAATGACAAAACAGAAAATTCTAGCTTCTTGTTAGTGCCAATAAGTTATACAAACTTTCCTACATTAGGCATATGCTCAGTAGGCTATCTAATTTCTATAATTATTTTCTGTAATCTGGTGGGTTCCCCCCAGCCTGAATTCTTTCTGTTTAGGGCTGACAATGACTTTATGAAATGGTAGTTTACCAACCTCGTAGTAAGAATTTCATCACATTTGCTACTACTGACAAAAACTGATGAAGACGGTCTGGGAGAGTAAACAATGTCACAGAGAAGGGTTAAAACCTGGACTGGAGTGACAGAAGAGGAGGGACTGCACTACCATTTCATAAACCATTTCAAGCCTAAATTGAAAGATCAGTAGGGGGAAAAAAAAAACACCAAATTACAGAAAATTTGTGAATTGACCATAAGTTTATGAAATTGGTTTTTATTTTTATTTGGTACTGGGGATTGAACCCAGGGCCACTCAAGCCCTGAGCCACATCCCCAGCCCTTTTTATTTTTTAGCTCTTTTTGAGACAGGGTCTTGATAAGTTGCTTAGGGCCTCACTAAGTTGCTGAGGCTGGTTTTGAACTTGTGATCCTCCTCCCTTAGCCTCGTGGGCCTCCAGGATTACAAGACTGTGCCACCACTCCCAGCAATGAAATGGTTTTTTAGTCCCAGGAAAAGTACATCAAGTACTCCTGCTACAGAAACCTTAAGGGATCAGCCTGTTGGAAGAACAGGGTGGAATGGTAAGTAATCTCACCTGCGTTTGCTCAGGCGTGCGATGCTACAGTCATTTTCATATCCTCCGCCCTCGTTGAGCATGCCAGTATGTACAATGTGGCCCACAGGCACATCCAGATCATTGGAAAAGAGGTATTGTAGAATTTCTAGTGCCTGATCCCCAGTGGACTGCAGGGCATAGAATGAAGCAGGGAAAGTTAATTCAAGAGCAAGAGCACCTGGCTGGCTAGTGGCTGGGTGTGGTAGCACAGGCCTGTAATCCCAGTGGCTCGGGAGCCTGAGGCAGGAGGATTGCCAGTTCAAAGCCAGCCTTAGCAAAAGTGAGGAGTTAAGCAACTCAGTGAGACCCCATCTCTATATAAAATACAAAATAGGACTGGGCATGTGGCTCAGTGATTGAGTGCCCCTGAGAGCACCTGGCTGGTAGCATGGCCAACTAGCACTGCACCTTGCTGAGAAAATTCAATGAGCCAGCACCCGTGTGACAGCTCCAGAGAAAGCTTGCTATTAAATGAGCCACTCTAGGCAGATTAAAAACTCTAAATAAAACAACAACAAAAAAATGGACATAAGGAGCTGAAGAGTCATAAAAATGTGATAATATAGATGTGACATTGCAGTTTACGCGGATTCTTTCAGAATCAGTTTTGAAGTAACAGATGAATATGACAAGTTTCCCAATCTTATTTTGGTTCATAAATACTTACTGTTATCTCAAACTTTGTGAAAGAGGACATGTCGATGACACACACAGCTTCCTTACAGCACTTGACTTCAGCCTCCACAATGTCAAACCAATCTGGCTTATAGAAAGTCTTGCTCTGCTCCAATGCAAGGAGGTCTGTGGATCAGAAAAAACAAAAGGTGGAGAGAAAAGGAGGGGATTTACACTGGGGACTGTTCCTTTATAGTTTGGTGTAGCCTAGCAGGAATTCTTACAAGAACACATTGTAGGTTTATACATTTACAAATAAATTAGATTGGGGGGTGGGGTGGAGTAACAGAGATTGAACCCAGGGGTGCTTAACCAGTGCATCACTTTCCCAGTTCTTTTTGTGTCTTATTTTGAGACAGGGCTTTGCTAAGTTGCTGAGGCTGGCTTTGAACTTGTAATCTTCCTGTCTCAGCCTCCCAAGTCACTGAGATTACAGGCATGCACCACCATGCCTGGCTACAAATAATAATTTTTTTTTTTCCCCAATTGGCAACCAGTAAAACTTAACAAAAATTTGACTTCTTGCCTTTGTCAGGTGGAACAAAGTACTTTGGCCTCTCAAATCCATGTTTCTCCATCCATCTGGCTCCTTGTGCATCTAGCCGGTCATACAGAGGAGATGTGCGCAACTGCCTACCTGTCTGGAAGTCCCAACGGGGAACCTTCAGATCGTATATCAGAGCTAAAAGAGACAAGAGTTTATCAAAGTTCAAGTCACAGATTCTGGAGCTGAATATCCAATATCTACTAAACTTGAATCATTTCTATTCATGAGAGAATAATTTGCAGGCTAATGCAGCCTAATTTGTCAGGTATTACCTAGTATTAACAGGCATGATCCAAAAGAAAGGACAACACTGTAAGACCATATAAAGCTATCTACCAGCGACTCATGGTCTCTGTTCACAATCATATTTCCACTTTAGTAGGCAGAAACAATGAAAGGAAAGTCATAGTTCTAAACTTTGCTCAGTTCCACAACAGAGGAGAAGATTGTCTAAGGACCCAGGTGGATAATAACAATGTGAAAAATGGTACTTGATTCTTTGCTTGTGTTGTCGGGATCTCAATACCATTACAGGTATTTCTTTCTCCATTAAGATTTAATCAATTTCTAAAGTGAAAGGGTACACAGTTTGCCTCCATTTGGTGGCTCTATAATTTGAGAGGTTGCACTGTACTGTCCCAGTAACATAATTCACATAATAAGCTAGGGTCAGAATTCATTTTTCTTCATGGCCAATCTGCAACAGCATTAAGTAAAAACAACCAGAAGAGTGTGATCTCTAATCTCTTCCAGAGAGAAGACCTGACTTTACTCCAGATGAAAGGTACACTGGGATGGGGATGGAAGGGATGATGGGAGTTTAAAGAGGACGAAGCCACAGAGTTCCCTGCATGTTGACAATTTGTCAACCTCTGATATCATAGGTTTTACTTTTTCCTTCCCCATTTTCTGTCATGCCTTCAATTTTTATTATGAGACTCACAGAAGGACACCAAAAGTGTTTCATCACCAAGGAGAAGCTCAAGCTTAATTATAATTTACACAGGTTCTAAAGTAACTATGGGCAGGAGGGCTAGAAACGTTGTTCAGTGATAGAGTCTTGCCTAGCATACATGAGGCCCCAGCACCGCAAAAACCAAATAAAATAACAATAGGCAGGAAAATCTAGACTTGAACAGTTTATTTAACATTTTTACTAAAACATTTACTAAAATTAACCTTATCAGTTAAATATACTGCTTCTAGGTCCTTCATCTCCTAAGAATGTAAGTTGTCTGCCATAGCCAAAAGTGAGCACTCGGGCATCAAAGGCCATCCAAAAGTCTTACTATGAATATCATCGAGCTACTAAGCGAACAATGCAATTTTGACCAAAAATGGTGGTCACAGTAATCTAGAAACTTTATTCCTTTTTGTCAAGGAGGGGGACACTAAGGATTAAACCCAGGGGTGCTTTACCACTGAGCATCCTCAGTTCTTTTTTTGTTGTTTTTTATTTTGAGGCATTGTCTCACTAAGTTGCTGAGGCTGAACTTGAACTTGCAATCCTCCTGCCTCAGCCTCCTAAGTCACTGGAATTACAGGTGTGCATCACCACACCTGGCTCAGAAATTTATTCCTAAGCATAAATATGCCCAAAATATTTAGACATGATTTAGTAAAGTCAATAATTTTCCTATACTGAGAAACTAAATTATTACTTGTCAGAACCTATATAATTTGGTTAAGTTCCTGAAACAAAAGCTATTGTACACACCTGTAATCCCAGCAGAATGAGAGGTTGAGATAGGAGGATCACAGATTCAAAGCCAGTCTCGACAGGTTGGCAAGACTGTAAGCAACCTAGTAAGACCCTGTCTCAAAATTTAAAAAAATACATTTTATAAAAGCAGGTGCTGAGATGTGGCTCAGTGGTTAATTGCCCAGGTTAAACCCCTAGTACTACCCACCCCCCTCCAAAGGGGAAAAAAAAAAAAAAGCTGTCTCTACAAGTTTACTGGACAAGGTAGAATAACAAGTCAAAATGAAGAAACCAAGGGCTGGGGTTGTACCTTAGTGGTAGAGTGCTTGCCTAGCACTTGTGAGGCACTCACTGGGCTCAATCCTTAGCACCACATAAAAATAAAGAAGTCAATCTTTCAATATCGTTAAAGAAGCAAGGATAAGGAAAATAAGATTAGGAATGCATACTTTGTGTTTATGGGAGAAGTGGTTTCTTATCTTGCTAGCATGGGATGAATAAAGTCATCAGAGAACCCTGAAATTCTGAGAGTACCTTGGTAAAACTTCTGCCTTGGAAAGAAAACAATGATCTCAAAAACCAAATGGGGATAAGGGTGAGCTCAGTGGTAGAGCACTGGCTTAGTATGTGCTAAGTTTACCTAGCATGCCCAGGGTTTGATTCCCAGTACTGGTAGAGCACTGGCTTAGTATGTGCTAAGTTTACCCAGCATGCCCAGGGTTTGATTCCCAGTACTGAAAAAAACAAACCAACCAAATGAGGAGCAAAACATTTGACATAGGATCTCACAAGGCAGGAAAGAAGGCAAGGAGGCACTTGCTGGCAATATAGAGGAAGCAACTGCATATCACCTGAAAACCTTTTTCTATTTTCCTGTTCCCAAAATTAAACAATGTACGATATACTAAAAATGTTCCATAAATATCACAAGGGGCATAAGGCCTCAAACCTAGGCCTGAAACACACATTAGAAGCCCAGCTCAAGCAGTTAATAAAGGAATGAAGAAAACTCTGCCCCATTCAAATGACAAAACATGCCACCAGACAGATATCTGCAACTAGGTGCAATTAGGATAAAGCTTCACTTACGCATGACTTCCATGACCCGGTGACGCAGAAAGGTACGGCTGCTCTGGAGTGCTCCAAAGCGTTTCAAGTCCAAGTCCCAGACGTTTTCTGAGGGATAACCATGTACCATCCATTCAGCAAGATACCTGTGGGGACAGGTATCTTAGGTGGGGGACAAAAAGTTGTTGGGTCTCAGATGTGATACACAAGAGAATTAAAGCAATATTCTACAAATCAAGACAATATTCTACAAATCAAGAACTAGTGGAATCAAAAGATCCTACAATGTCACCAACAGTTGAGCAATTTGGGGCAATTTTCTTAACTTTTTTATAATAAAAAAACATGGACCCAAAGTATCTCAGAAAAACACTATGAGAATTTTAGCTGTAAGAAGAGTCCCTAGAAAGTTTTTGACATAAGCCACATCAATGAAGAAATAAGATTAAAACATACATAAAATGTAGTCTTTCTGTAAAACAGTCACCTAGTGAAATTATATAGCTCTCTGACCACATACATCTCTTTTGCTCCAAATGTTTTTGGTAATTCCTCTTCTGTGGTTTTCAGAGCCATTCTACAACCACTGGAGAAAACTGGGCCTCATTATTTAAAAAAAATTAAAGTATGATAAAAGCTATATTTTGATCCTTGAACAACACGGGTTTGAATTGTAAAGTTCCACATTTATATGCTTTTTTTTTGGCGGGGCAGGGGGGATTTGCAATAACTTCGGAAAAACAGTTGAATCAGGTAGTCTAGCTACATTAAAAAAATAAGAAAGAATTACGTCATGTATAAAATATGTGATGAGTCTATTTTATCATTTACTTTCACAAAATATATACAAATATATATACAAATCTATTACAGAATTAAAATTTATCAAAACGTATACTCTCTAACCATACATGGTGTCATCTGCACTGGAGATGTAAACAGATCTAAAGATGGAGTATTTAACTGTAATTGCATAAAGTTAACTATAGTATAGACTATACTATTGTGATAATTTTGTAGCCACCTCCTGTTGCTATTTCAGTGAGCTCAAGTGAGCATCCATTTAAACCACCATTGAGTGCTGTTCATCTCCCCGTAAGCAGCTCATCTACCACAGTAACATGATCTTATAGTTCTCTTGCATTTTTCACTGTTTATGATACATACAACATGGAAAGTAAGTGTTAATTGACTGATTATGTTATCAAGGCTTCCAGTCCACAGCAGATTGTTAGAGTTAAGTTTTGGGGGAGTTCAAAAGTTGTATCCAGAGTTTGATTAGTAGTGGAAGCAGAAAGTGGAGCCTAGCATGCCCTGAGCATCCTGCCACCACTAGCCTAGTCATCCTCACTCAAGAGGAGCTGCCACAGCAGGCCATCACTGCACTAGTGAGCAGGAGACTGAGATTCAGCAGCCACTTGCTGCTCACGCCAAGCCCAGTGCTGGGAGCAATGGCCGGGGTGGCCTCACATTTATTGCCTGTGGGTAGAAACTAAAAAGATCATCACAAAATTTTGGGAGCAGTAGAACAGTTCAATTTAAGAAAAGGATATGGGGCTGGGGATATAGCTCAGTTGGTAGAGTGCTTGCCTAGCATGCACAAGACCCTGGGTTCAATCCCCAGCACCACAAAAAATAAATAAATAAGATAGAATAAAATAAAATAAATGGATATGGTTTCATCAGTGGGAATGATACCAAGGGAGATATATTTGAAGGCCAGCTTGTCATGTAAAAACCCCAGAAGTCCCTTAATGATAAAGAGGATAGAAAAACTGGAGTTTGATGTAGAAAAAGAAAAGGAGGTAGAAGCAACAAATGTGTCAGGATCTGGTAGAGTTCCAGTTCAAGGCAGAAAATATGCAATAGACCATAACCACTTTAGATGTGATTTACATCATAGGGGATCATCCATGCAGTCACCAAAATTACCAGAATAGACTGGGGGAAAGGCTGAGGGGTCAGAACTGATCTCCAAAGAGAAAAAGCACCCCCTCCCCTACCTACTGCGGAGACACCACAGATGTGAACCACAGAACCAACCGGGCAGGGAGATGTGATACAGGGTTCTGATGCTGACAACCATGGTGCAGGGAAGGTGGACCAGTGAGAAATGATGTGTATGGGCTTAAAGACCATGATTCCTAGAGAAGATGGCAACAAAGATAAAATCAAAGAGACTTGAGGTCAGCAGCCATCTCAATCTTAGTAGAGCCGCAACTTCAGTTACCCTGCAGATGCCCAGAAAAACCTAAACCATAGGATAGCACAGTGCCAGAGGCAGCCTCTCCATCAGCTTAGACTTCATGGGCTCCCAAGGCTGAGCAGGGTAGGGCTAGGTAAATGCCACCTTACCATCTTCACCATCTAGTCATCCAAAAAGAAAAAATAAATACGAAATGAACAGAAGTTCAGAAGTGAAGACCTGAAGTGCTTGCTTTTTTATCCACTAATGAGATAATTAGAACCATGTGCATTATCTATGCAGCATGGGAGTTTTTGTTATTTTTAATAATTGATACTCTCTGCTGATAACAAATTTGAGATTTTTTTGTTTTTTAAAAAGCCTATTTGTTCTCAATACACCTGTATAAGCTTTTAAATGCTTTTGTATCTGGTCAGGTTGAAATTTTTAAGAACTCCATTTATAATTTATAATAAACAATTTACAGAATTTTTTTTTTTTTTTTTTTTTGGTGCTAGAGATTGAACTCAGGGTCTCATACTAAGGATACACCCAGTCCCTTATGAACTGATATTTCTTTAAAAAAAAAAAAAGTTAATACTTGCAAGCACCTATTAATAAAGGTCTTAAATCACTTTAAAACAAAATTTATAAGCAAGCTGAGTACACTGACACATGCCTATAAATCCCAGCTATTCAGCAGTAGAAGGATCTTAAAAAGTCAAGGCCAGCCTGGGCAACTCAGTGAGACTCTGTCTCAAAAATAAAATTTTGGGGATGGGGATGTGGCTGTGGTAGAGCACTTGCCTAGCATGTGTGAGGCCCTTGGTTTGGTCCCCAGTGCTGCAAAAATAAATAAATAAATAAATGAAAACTAAAATTTAAAAAAGGATTGGGGATGTAGCTCAGAGACAGAGCACTTATGTAACATGCATGAGGTCCTGGGTTCAGTCCCCAGTACTGTAAAATAATTGAATGAATAAGTTATAAGCAGAAGTTTCAACTATGCAGTTAACCTCTAAATTGTTCAAGGGTCAACTATACAAATAAAAATTATCACCTTAAACTACTTTTACGTGTGTAGTATTAAGTACATGCACATCATCCATCTCTAGAACTCACTCTTCATCGTGCAGACCTGAACACTATACCTGTTAAACAGTAACTTCCTCTACCCTTGCAACCACTACTGTGCTGTTTGTCTACAGATGTGACCATTCCAGGTTCCTCACATAAGTGGAATTGTACAGTATTTACATCCCTTTGTAATTTACTGATTTTTACTAATACCTACTTTTTAAATAATAACATGTCACACAGCTTGATCACCTACCACACTCACAACACACTTGGCTACTTCTAAACTCAAATATACACTTTGAAGGGCCATACTTGTTATGACTGGAAAAAGTACAAAAAAAAAAAAAAAAAAAAAAACCCACACAAGTTCTATGGCTAACTTTAAAACAGAAGTTCGCAAAATATTTTGCAAAACGACACTTCTAGAATATGGGGAGAGCCTCCCATGGTGAATTCTTTGTAGGAGACAATTCTCCAATTATATGTATGTTAATCTTACCATTATCTTTAGCATCTCAGATTAAAAATATTACATAACATCCTAGCAAGTAATCCTAGAAGGGAAAAAGCCCAGCAAGCTGACATGTATTCATAACTGACTCTGCGTGAAGACTTACTTTCCAGCTCCTCCACCAAATGACAGGCCAGCAGAGTTCATCCCTGCCAGGACAAAGTAGCCCTGTACTACAGGAGACTCGCCCATGATGCACCTCATGTCTGGTGTGAAGGTCTCAGGGCAGTTCACCAACTTCATGATCTCCAGAGTCTCCAATTCTGGCATTCTACGCAGGAGGGAACTCAACAGGGGCTCTGAGCAATAAAAACAAACCCAAATAGAGTTTACCTTTAGGGAATCTAAAAACTTTCAAATCTTATATATACATATACATATACAAATACATATATTTTTAAAAAATTTTTTAGACAACCTTTATTTTGTTCATTTATTTATATGTGATACTGAGAATCAAACCAGTGCCTCACACATGCTAGGCAAGTGCTTACCACTGAGCTATAGCCCCAGCTCCAATATATATAGGGAGATTTTTTTAAACTACTACTCCTTTCAGAAAACTTCTCAGGAGGGATTTTTCTAAGAGCCAAGTGGGCTATTTATCAGAAATCAGAAAGCTTGGTGGAATTACAGGACACACCTGCAAAATGCTTGGCATAAAGACAGAAAAAACACACTCTAGAAAGGAAGAGAGCTACTGAATGGCATAATACATGTGGCCACAGAGAGTAATGGAATGAGCCAGTATTGAGTGGAAAAACTCTAAGTGGTGCCCAAAGAGATTTCAATGAAAGACAATGTTTTCCTTTGTTGGAATAGCTCCAAGACAGATCCTTACCCATTTTTAATAATGAATCTGTCATCTGGCCATAATTCCTTGGGACAATGGTAAAAGATGAATCCAGGGTAGAGTTGCTTGGGTTCGTGGGGGTGGTAGTGGGGGGGCAGTGTTCATCATATTACTTTAAATACTTTGAAAAGTTTCAAACTTCCCATAAGAAGTTTATTTTTAAAAGAAAGTTCACACAGTGCTGGGAGAGTGTATACCAAGTATGTTCAAGGCCCCAGGTCCAATCCACCACCTATTAAAAAAAAAAAAGCCTTCAAGAATGAAAGCGGGGCTGGGGATGTGGCTTAAGCAGTAGCGCGCTCGCCTGGCATGCGTGCGGCCCGGGTTCAATCCTCAGCACCACATACAAACAAAGATGTTGTGTCCGCCGAAAAACTAAAAAATAAATATTAAAAAAAAAAAAAAGAATGAAAGGGAAATGCATCAGATATACTTTCCTATTTCTTGAATTTGGAACCATGTAACTATTAATTATTGAATAAATAAAATTAAGAGACCACATAATAAAACAATTCTGCTTTTTAAAAAGTTCTTCAGTTTTATATAAAATATGACCAAAAGGCAGTCTCCTAGCCCAAAATTTCTGCAATGATTTAGGGGAAAAAATAATAAACCAAATTTGTTAACCAAGATGTTAGTTCCCTAAACTTGCTAACCAGTAACTGCATCCCTACACTAGGCAAACTATGGAGAATGTTTTGGTGACTACTATTGTACTATTCCTGAAATGCTTTGAGAAATATAACACCTTTGGAAAAAAAAATAAAAGTAGAACATCTTAGACAAATAGATGGTATTATCAATACAATGTAATTCACATACCAAAATGATCCCAATCTTCCTGCAGATTCTGAATTTCCAGCTGGTTCTTGCCCTCAGTGAAAATAGGTTTTGGGTTCTTTTCAAAGCCCCCAGACAAGATGCCACCCTGCCAGTTCCGAATATAAATTCTTCCATCAGCATCAACAATAGCTGAGAAGGAAAATGACAAGGGAGTGGGGAGTAGGAAAAACAAACAAACAAACAAGATTTTAGAGGCAAGTCAGCTTTCTAAATGGACATAAAAGAAACAAAATACCCATGAATGGATTTATTAAGGAAACGGCATCCAATACACATAGGCATCAGTCAGCTTAAAAATACCTTTGGAGTTCATGCGGGAGGATCTTCCCAGCAGATTTACAGAGGAGACGGTTTCTCTGATTATCCCTAACTTTAGCAGGAAAAGTCTAGAAGCTTTGCAAAGTCTCACAATCAAACTACATGACTGCCATGTGCCAAGCAAAAGTCTAACAGAAAGGGGACTGCAGAGCTTGAAAACAATATCGAAACCCTCTCCTAGAGTACCTGGAGCCAATATACCACCCAAGTTTATGGTTTACCTGTAACATTTCTACAATTGGTAACATTCAAATTAAAAACTGAAAGTTACATTCCAAATATTCTCAATTACCTCTTTTTGGGACTAAACTTAAGCTTGCAAAAACAAAAACAAAAAATTGCTTGATGACATGCCCATTTGACTATCCTTTCATAAAGAAATATCACAGAAAAGTTAGAATTGAGTCTACCTCCCTGTAACATGCTGCAGAAGATAAAAGACTCAGGTACAATCTGTCCTTTTCAGAAAGTCTTCCTTTTCAGAGGACAGGATACTGGCAAGTAGATAAGATTGTAAAAAAGTACAAGTCCTCACTTGGTGTGTTGCTCTGCAGAGGGGTCTCCAAGGGGCGAGTCAGAAGGTAGAAGTGTTCGCAGGCATGTAACGGGATACTAACCGGCTCCTCGTTGGACAGACCCAGCTCGTATGCCCACTACAAATGGACAGATTTATTTGTGGGTGGGAAGAGGAACAGAAACACAAATGAGCAAGTTTAGCCTCTTGAAAAGAAATTAATTTCAAGTGGCTTCTGTGTGCTCTTGCTAGAGTGACAGGTGTGGGAAGCCAAGTTTCAGCCTGCTTTAATTAGTTCAAGTATTTGGATGGGGAGCAACACTATATTTTTTAAACATAAAAATAACCTTTTAATCAAAGGACAATGGATTTACCAATCAAGACAGCAGAAGCCCTTTTAATAAAATGCCTGGCCTCAACTAATAACTCCAGATACCAATCATTAAGTAAACTTCATAAAGCAAGGAGTATTTCCTAGATCACCTTGAGACTGCAGAGTAGAAGGAAAGGTACCAATTTGCCTCAGAAGTAGAAGGAGCTTAGTGTTCAAACATGGTCCTAATACAATAAAATAGCCTAATATTTTATCTGCTAGGTTGTAGAATGAAATTTAACATTATGGAAATACCCAAAAGCAAGGATTCATGTCAATGTCTAACTATTTGCTGGCATTCCTGACCAGATGGCACCAAATAACCTGGTGCAGAAGGAGGAAAAGGTCACAGATGCTTCTATTTGAGGAATAAGTATAATTTTCTGACTCAGATAAAAGAATTCTGATTTTTTCAGTCCAAACAAGAAATAGTATAGTACCTAACTTCTCTTTAGTCATTCACAGTATTAATCTTAATGCTCTACACCAAAAATATCCAAATTAAATAAGAAAATCATCTGCTCAATATTGTTGCTAACCTACCTGACCAGCACAGTTGACAAAATACTGGCATTCAATCTGTCCTTTATCTGTTTCCACACCAGTAACTTGGCCTTTTTTGACCATTATATGAAGAATAGTTGTCCGGTCATAAATCTGAACACCTGTGCCAAAATAAAGAAAGAGCTGGTACATCATCTGATGTTCCAGAATGTAACATCTGCAGCAGATTCTCCACCCCAAAGAATAACTGAATAAGTAGGTCAGTGCTCTAATATAAGAAATAAAAACCCTTAGGAACGACATCTTGAGACTATGTAATGGGCCTTGCTCAAGACTGAAAATAGCTGATCAATTTAAAAACAGAGTCTAATACATATTAGTTGAAAATATGGAGCAGGGATGAAAGAGTTCAAATAGGGCATCTTTTTTTTTAAGTTATGATTTTTTTATATCTTTATTTATTTTTATGTGGTGCTGAGGATCGAACCCAGGGTCTCACACATGCAAGGCGAGCACTCTACCACTGAGCCACAACTCCAGCCCAAATAGGGCATCTTAAATCCCAATCTACCCACATCATGATCAGTTCACCTAAAGTATATAACACCTGGATACTACTCTTCCCATCATACATCTGAACTCCAGATCATGATTTAAGCTGTGCATCCAATTTCCAAGGCTAACCTTAGAGCTTCTTAAGTCCTGGAGGAAGGGGAATTCCCCTAAGTCTGAAATGCACTCATCAGCAATAAAAAGCAGTTATTTGGGGCTGGGGATGTGGCTCAAGTGGTAGCGTGCTTTCCTGGCATATGTGAGGTACTGGGATCAATTCTCACCACCTCATAAAAATAAAAAAAAAAACCAAAACAGTAGTTACTTGAAATTTTTAACATGAAAAATGTGGCCCAGGCTGGGTGAGTAGTTCAGTAGTAGTAGAATGCTTATCCAGGATGTGCAAGGCCCTGGGTTTAATCCCCATTACCAAGGGTGGTGGGTGAGTGGGAGCTCGATATGACCCTGAGAAAAAATACTTATCAACAGATACCAAAAAAAAAAAAAAAAAAAAAAAAATTACTATATTTTTAAAACTCTTGAGATTCCCCTATTCAAAGGCAGGAAGATGAATACCCAATGAGGACACTTTTTCCAAATGTGAATTGGAATCATTGCCTCCTACCATAAGACACTTCTCAGGTAACTTCTTTCTCCCAAACCCATGTTAAGAAAACACAAAAACCTGCTCACCATTTTGGGAGGCAGCACTTGCCAGGGCAAGAGCCACATCAGCAGAGGACACCACAGCATCCTCAGGAACATGCATGGCCCCCACCAGGTCGTGCACATTGAGGAGAGGGTAAAGTTCAGCCACTTTCTTTGGGGAGATGATCTCTGAAGGGATGCCTGTAACACTGCCAATGAACACAAGGGGACAATGACATTCATGGGCTCTTTGCAGAGGTCAGTTTGGCAAAGTCAGGACAGGCTTCTAGCCTCTTACGTACTTCAAACTTGAGTTGATGCGCTTCAAGGAAATGAGCCGGTCCTGTGTTTGAGCCAGAAAGATTGAGCCTGTCCTTATGTAACCTGTAAGGAAACATCAGTCAAACTGAGACAGACCAGACCAAATGTAAAGAGGGCTTCACTGCATTATAGGTTAGATGTGTCCCAAATCCTAACAATGTCACTCAACATCCCTGGGTAAGCCAATTAGCTTCCTTTGAACTTTTAGTGAAAATTTAAAATACACCAGATGTATAAATATTCTCAGCTCATCATCTTCTGAGAAACAAACGAGGTCCTGATGTACATAAGATTGCTCATAATAGGCCGGGATGGTGGGGCATGCCTGTAATCCCAGTGGCTCAGGAGGCTAAGGCAGGAAGATCTTGAGTTCAAAGACAGTATCAGCAACTTAGCAAGGCCTAAGCAACTCAGTGAGACCCTGTCTCTACATAAAATACAAGAAGGGCTGGGTATGTGGCTCAGTGGTTAAGTGCCCCTAAGTTCGATACCCAGTACAAAAAATAATGGCTCAAGAATCTTTTTTAGGCAAGATGTGACTTAGAATCCATCCTTTTTTTTTTTTCACTCCTAGGCAATTTCACCTTTCCTCTTCCTAGTCTTGGTCAGAGTATAATACTTGGCAAAAGCCACACATAACATTAGCTATCAGAGGGCAGGTCCTCCCTCTCCTTCCCTAGTACAAACAAACAATGGGCTTGTCACTTAAGCTCAGTCAACTAGACCCTCAGTTTGTAGCAAGTCGGTTAATGACTGGAGAGCTCTCATTTTAGGGGCAGCAGTGTCCTGGCCATTCCTATTCCTCACATCCTGGCCCCCCGGTTGCCTCCAGCTGGCAACCTCCTGCCAACTCCACAAGTGCCCAACATCCTTCCAACAAGCTCCATTTTTTCCTCAAGTTTAACAGTCATTTTGGAATCAATACACATGATATATTACTACTATTACACTTGAGTCAATGAAAATCCTAAAACACTTTCAGTTCTTGTGAAGGAAACAATGATCAGTCAGGTATCTTTAAAATTAGGATGTATAGGGGGCTGAGGTTGTGGCACAGCGGCAAAATGCTCGCCTAGCACGTGTGAGGTGCTGGGTTCGATTCTCTGTACCACATAAAAATAAAATAAAGGTATTCTGTCTAACTACAAAAAAATTTTTTTTTAAATAGAATGTATAGTCAGGATAATTTAAATAGTTCAAAATCTCTTGAAATCATCAGATAAATATGCCCTACACTGACATGACAAGAAGATCCCAGTTTAAAGGATCTGACATTTCAGAGCCTGGTGATTAAAAATAGTAGATATACCAGCTTTGTGCAGTGATCTTGGCCAGTGATCTGTGGGCTAATCACACGCTGGATTTCACTTTAAGACAGATGAAGGGGTCAGCAACTATTTTGTAATTATTATGAAAGATTATTTAGAGGAAGGTACTACTTACTGAATATGCACAATAAAGCATGTTATACTATGTTAAATCACATTCCCAAAAATTACATTTTACTCCACCCATTAATAAGATTAAAATTTCATTATTTTCCTACAGAAGACTTTAAAGGTTTTGACTAAAGGAATTCTGACATATAATTTGTGTTGTTAGATGTTAAAAGTCACGGGCTGGGGTTGTGGCTCAGAGGTAGAGCACTTGCCTACCATGCATGAGACACTGAGTTTGATCCTCAGCACCACATAAAAATAAAATAATGTTATAACTAAAAATAAATATTTAAAAAATGTTAAGAGTCATAAAATAGAATTCTTATAGATCAATAAAGAAACAAAGGAGGGCTGGGGATATGGCTCAAGCGGTAATGTACTCGCCTGGCATGCACGGGGCGCTGGGTTCAATCCTCAGCACTACATAAAAATAAAATAAAGATGTTGTGTCCACAAAAAACTGAAAAATAAATATTAAAAAAATTCTCTCTCTTAAAAAAAAAAGAAACAAAGGAGACATATGATATTAAAAGGCAATTCAAAGAAGAATTATAAATGGCCAGTAAACCTATGAAATGATTTTTAACTCAAAGAGATGTAAATAAGAATCCTGAAAGTTTTTTTTCCACCCCTCAGGATTAGCAAAAATAAATACCCAATGTTGAGAAGACTGTAAAGAAATAAGCACTCTCTCTTCTAAAAATCAAAGGGAGATCAGTAGAGAAAGGGACCAAAGGGTGGGAAGTGGGAAATGCTGGGGAGTGAAACTGGCCAAATTATATTGTTACATTATATGCACATACAAATATTTAACAACTCCCATCACTATGCACAACTATAATGCACCAATAAAAAGTGTGGAAAGAAAAATAAGCACTCTCATACACTGTTGGTGAGGGTATAACCCTGTAGGAGAATGATTAGGCAATAACCATCCAAATATAAAGTACCTATATCCTTTGTCCAACTTATCTCTTTTCTAGAAGGAATCTATTCTTCAGAATTAGGAGAAAATAAAGGTATCTGGACAAAAATCTTAACTGAACCATTATGCACAGTGGCAAAAAAGTAGGTAGGAGGGGCTGGTGTTGTGGCTGAGGGGTAGAGTGCTTGCCTAGTACATGCGAGGCACTGGGTTCGATCCTCAGCACCACATAAAAATAAAATAGATATTGTGTCCACCCAAAACTAAAAAACAAATATTTTAAAAAAATAAAAAGGTATTGTGTCCAACTACACTAAAAAAAATATTTATTTAAAAAAAATGTGGGGGGACCTATAAATAGATGACAAGCTTTGAATGGCAGGTGCTATGGAACACCGCTCTGCAGTTAAAAAATGAAATAGGATTATGTGTTAATCTGGAAAACAGCCTAAAATGTACTTTTATTTAACTATTATTAAAAGTGGCTGGGGGCTGGGATTGTGGCTCAGTAGTGGAGCACTCGCCTAGCACGGGCAGGACCCGGTTTTGATCCTCAGCACCACATAAAAATAAAGGCATTGTGTTGTGTCCATCTACACCTAAAAAATAAAATAAAAATTATTTAAAAAAAAATAAGTGGCTGGGCGCAGTGGTGCACACCTGTAATCCCAGTGGCTTGGGAGGCTGAGGTACAAAGATCAGAAGTTCAAAGCCAGACTCAGAAACTTAATGAGGCCCTGAGCAACTCAGCAAGACCCTGTCTCAAAATCATAAAAAGGGCTTGGGATGTAGCTCAATGGTCAAGCGCCCCTGGGTTCAATCCCTTGTACATAAAAAAAAGTTACCATATTTGAGGAAATAAGAGAAACAATTTCAGATATAAAGTAAGTACAGATAGGAAAGGCAGCAGAACACAACAGACACTAGTATGGCAATATGTAAATCAATGGATGTGTAACTGATGTGATTCTGCAATCTGTATATGGGGTAAAAATGGGAGCTCATAACCCACTTGAATCAAAGTGTGAAATATGATATATCAAGAACTATGTAATGTTTTGAACAGCCAACAATAAAAAATTAAAAAAAAATAATAATAAAGTAAGTACAGAGAGGGACTGGGGTTGTGGCTCAGTGGTAGTGCTTGCCTTGCACGTGTAAGGCACTGGGTTCGATCCTCAGTACCACATAAAAATAAATAAAGGTATTTTGTCCATCTACAACTAAAAAAATATTTTTTAAAAAAATATGGTACAGAGAGCACATGATGAATTGTTAAATACATGTATTAACAAAATGTCACATAAGAGGCTGAGGTTGTGGCTCAGTGGTAGAGCACTTGCCTAGCATGTGTGAGGCACTGGGTTCAATCTTCAACACCATATAAAAATAAACAAATACAATAAAGGTATTGTGTCCATCTATAAATGAAAAAAATATTTTAAAAATGTAATATAAAAGTTTTTAGAGAGATGAGATCTAGGTAAGGTGAATGGTGTCTGAAATAGACACTTCAAAAATTACTGATACATCCGGATTTTTCATAAGTAGGATTTGAATAGACTGAGAAAAGTTGATGGGCACTTACTTGTTAATTTTAAAGACATAAACCAATATATTAGGCCATGTGCAGGGGGACAACCCTTATAGATAAAGACTATAACTTGTCAGTTAAATTTCAGTTTGAGGGCTGGGGTTGTGGCTCAGTGGTAGAGCACTTGCCCAGCATGTGTGGGGTACTGGATTTGATTCTCAGCATTGCATAAATAAATAAAATAAAGGTCCATCAACAACTAAAAACATACGTATAAAAAAATTTTTCATTTTGGGTTGGGGTTGTGGCTCAGTGTTATTGTGCTCACCTAGCACATGTAAAGCACTGGGTTCGATTCTCAGCACCACATAAAACATAAATAAATAAAATAAAGGTGTTGTGTCCCTCCTACAGCTTAAAAAAAATTTTTTTTGTTTTTTTAAATTTCAGTTTAAAGCCAGGCGTGGAGGCACACACTTGTAATCTAGCAGCTCAACAAGTTATGTGACTTGCCCATGGTAACGTTCCAGCTGGTGGCAGACTGTGGACTAAAACCCTAGTCTTAATTACCAAATCACCAAGCAAACCTGGTATAGGATCAGATACAGTAAAGACTTTTAGTCTAGAGACAGACCAGTAAATGGCAAATTACCTGCTTACCTGTTTGAATCCCTGTTTCTTGCTCTAACTGATGGTAGAGTCTGTTTGAATAGTCTGCCATCTTCTGCTCAATGGTCAACTGCCTGGCAGTGCTCAGGATGCCAGCACAGAACCTGGTGGAGCCAGCAGCCAACCTGCAAGACGGATGCAAAATGCTATTAGGCAGACTCATGTATCGGAGTATGTTCGAGAACCCTCATTATAATATTGTTTGTAATATCAAAAAATGCAAATACGGTTTAAAATTTTGGAGATCACCAAATCTATCTGGGGTGGGAGTTCCATCTCTCCCAAGATAGAACTCCTTGAGTACCCCTGATAATCGCTCTCGCCTTAGGGAGAATGTCAGAAATATAATTTTAAGAATAAGGGATGGGCTGGTGGCTCAGTGGGGTTGTGGCTCAGCACAGCACTTGCCTAGCATGTTTTTTTTCTCAGCACCACATATAAACAAGTGAATAAAATAAAGATCCATCAACAACAAAAATATATACAATTAAAAAAGAGAGTGGACTGGGACTGTGGTTGAGAGTGGACTGGGACTGTGGTTCAGCAGTAGAGCGAATGCCTAGCATGTGAGAGTCCCTGGGTTCGATCCTCAGCACCACATATAAATAAATAAAAATAAAGGCATTGTGTCCATCTACAACTACAAAAAGAATGAAAAGGGTTTTTTTTAAAAGATATTTTTTATGTGGTGCTAAGGATCAAATCCAGCACCTCACATGTGCTAGGCAAGCACTCTAAACTGATATGTGTGTGCATTTAAGCAAATAAGTAAACAAGGTAGAGGAAAAACTTTCCGACAGTAGAATGCCAACTAAAAGAAGAAGGATGAGGAAAGAAACCTCACCATTTGGCAAGCATCATGGTGGTGGGTGCAGTCAACTGCCAATGGAAGTTAAGCCTGGTAAGTGGAGGTGTGACATTAAGATATTGGCAAAATCTCAGAATCCATCTCCCCAAAGGTTGCTAGCCCATTATAAGAGGGCAGAAGGGGCAGGGCACATTTGTAATCCCAGCTATTCAAAGTTCAAAGCTAGCCTAGGCAATTTTGTGAGATTATCTGAAAAACCGGAAGGAGGGGGAGGTGGGGAGGTAGCTCCATGGTAAGAGTGCTTGCCTAGTCTGATTCAATCTCCAACTCCAAAAAAAAAAAAAAAGTGGCTCCGACAGAGATACTCAGAGGACACTAACAAAACTGGGTGATCAGGATTATTCCCACCAGTAGTACATGCCAGCCATGCACCTCCTGGTGTGGTACACTGCAAAAAGCCTAGCACCATTTCTGTGGTCTTCCCGCCTAAAATTTTTGGTCTCATTGTGGTGACAGATGTACAACTCTGTGAACAGACTAACAGCCAATGACCTATGCACTTGACAAGGATGACTGGTACGGAATGCAATACATTGTTCTTGAAAAACTGTGTGACCCGAGTTTGATCACAAGAAAACATTAGTTGAACCCAAACTGAGAATTATCCCACAGAGAGAAAGGCCTGTACTCCTTAAAACTGTCAAGGACACGGGAACAGGGAAGGGCTGAAGAACTGTGCCAGCAGAAGAGACATGACAACTGAACACAAGTTCCTGGAGAAAATACTGGACCAGAAAGGACAGAGAGACCTTATTGGAATGGTTTGCAAAATCTGAGTGAGGCTGATGAATCTGATAGTAGTGTTGTATTCATATTTTCCTGATATTCAGGTATGATGGTTATGTAGGAGGTTGTACTTGTTTTTTGAGGAAAAAAACACCCTGAAATGCTTAGAGGTGCTGGGTTATCAGGTCTGCAACTTATGCTGAGATAGTTATAAAAAAGGGAATATATACACACACTCTCTCTCTCTCTCTCATGGCTATGTGTATACCCATCTACAAAGAACAGAACAGGTGATACAACAGGTACATTAGAATGTTGACAATGGGGGAACTTTGGTAAAGAAGATATGGATATTCTCTGTACTGTTCCTGAAGCTTTTTAGTGAATTAAGTCATTTCAAAATAAATTTGCTAGAAAATATTATTATTTAATGCAAATATGCCAATTATTACAGAATTTATAAAATATATAGAATTAAAATATATAATAACACAAAGGGCAAAAGGAGGTAAACAATTATACTGTTATGTCCAACAATACTCAAGTAGTGGTATAGTAGTACTTCATAATGGACAAATAAATTAAGAATACATAGGGCTGTAATGTTTCTCTGTTGAAACTAAGAATTTTATGATTAAAAAATGCTACTTGGGCTGGGACTGTGGGTCAGCGGTAAAGCGCTTGCGTCACACGGGCGGGACCCAGGTTCGATCCTCAGCACCACATAAAAATAAAGGCATTGTGTTGTGTCCATCTACACCTAAAAAATAAATATTTTTTTAAAATGCTACTAAAAACAAAACAAAAAACAGAATACATGGGGCTGTGGGTGTAGATCAGTGGTACAGCACTTGCCTACCATGCAGAAGGCCCTGTGTTAAATCACCAACACCACAAAAGGAGGAAAAAAGAATACATATTCTGATCTCTATAATCATTAAAAAATAATACAAAGGCAGGAGGGTTACAAGTTCAATAGCAGCCTGGTCAATATAGTGATACCTGTCAATAACAATAACAATGATGATGATGATGATGATGATGATGATGATACAGAGTAGCTTAAAAGTCCACAAAGATAGGGGCTGGGGTTGTGGCTCAGTGGTAAAGCACTTAACAGGTATGTATGAGGCACTGGCTTCAATTCTCGGCACCACAAAAAAATAAAGTAAAGGTCCATTGACAACTAAAAAACTATTGAAAAAAAAAAAAAAGTCCACAGAGATAAAATAGAATACTAAAAATATGTGATTCATCTAAAGGAAGGCAAAAACTGAAAAAGAGGCAAAGCCCATAAAGAAAGCATACTTCTTTTGGGGGAAGAAAGCAATAAAAATCTAGCTAAAAGATAACTGTTTACCTAATGTAATTTACACTATTTTACAAGCACAAATTTTTGTTGAAGTCTAAAATGTTACAGAAAACTCAAAACTGTCAAGGTCACCAAAAACAAGGAAAGTCCAAGAAACTGTCACAGCTCTTAGGAGTCTGAGAAGACATGATGACTGGGAGAAATGGATCCTGGGTGGGATCCTAGAATAGAAAAAGGATATTAGGAGAAAAGTGAACAAAAATAAATAAAGAATGAGCTTTTGTTAATACTAATGCATGAGTTCTGATTTGGTAATTGTAATAACGTAAAATGTTAGGTGAGAGTGGATGTAGGGAGGATGGGGTTATAGCTCAGTGGTAGAGGGTTTGCCTAGCATGTATGAGACTGAGTTCAATTCTCAGCACCACACATAAATACATCAATTAAAAGTCCATTGACAACTAAATAATTAAAAATAATAAATAAATTTAAAAATTAAGGGCTGGGGTTATGGCTCAGCAGTAGAGTGCTCATCTCACACGCATGGGACCCTGGGTTCGATCCTCAGCACCATGTAAAAAATAAATGAGTGAAATAAAGGTATTGTGTCCAACTATAAATTAACTATTTTTTAAAAAAAATTAAAAATAATTAAAGAAAGTGCATAGGGTATATGGGAATTTTCTAATAACCGTCAGTTTTTCTGTACATCTAAAGCTGTTCAAAAGTAAGCTAATTAGGACTGGGGCTCAGTGGTAGAGCATTTGCCTAGCATGTGTAAAGCACTGGGTTCAATCCTTAGCACCACATAAAAATAAATAAATAAGGGTATTGTGTCCATCTATGATTTTTCTAAATATTTATTTTCCAGTTGTAGTTGAATACAATACCTTTATTTTATTTATGTATTTATTTTTATGTGGTGCTGAGGATCAAACCCAGGGCCTCACACGTGCGAGGCGAGTGCTCTACTGCTGAGCCACAACCCCAGCCCATGTCCATCTGTAATTAAAAATATATATTTAAAAAAAATAAGGGCTGGGATGTAGCTCAGTGGCAAAGCATCTGCCTTGCATGATATAAATAAATAAATAAATGAAAATCAATAATGGAGATATAGGCAGAATGCAATCACTTTTATCTCAGTTCAAAGTCACAGGACTTAAACTACTGGGTGACAACAAAGAGAATGAGATAAAATGTGTTGTAAACACATACATCCTTTTTTTTTTTTTTTTTCAGTACTAGGGACTGAGCCCAGGGTGCTCTACCACTGACTACATCCCCAGCCCTTTTTGTTATTTGTTTCTGAGACAGTATCTCAGAACTCCAACTTGCAATCCTTCTGTCTCATACTACCAAGTAACTGAGATTACAGGTATGCACGTGTAATCTCTATATAAATCCTTTTAAGATACTTGTTTTTGTTGAAATCTACTACCTTTCTAAAAACCCAAACATTAGTATCACTAAACAAAGTGCAGAAGATTTCACCTCAGTTCTTCTCATGACACTGAGCAACGTTTGGATTAACTATTGGTAGGACATTATTGTGGAGGAGAGAGGGAATGAGGGAGTCCCTTACCATTAGTACAGCACAGCCACAAGCTAAGTCCCATTTGATCCTTACCTGCCCTGCTCCAAAAGGACAATATCTGTCCACCCCATCTTGGAGAGGTGATAGGCCACAGATGTGCCCATGATTCCACCCCCACAGATGACAACCTGGGCCTGGGCAGGCAGGGTGATAGAATGTGCCTCAGCAGTTGATGTGTTGCTTCTCGCCAAGGACCAGTTCTGCCATCCTGGGCTGGTTCTTCGTCTTCGGGCAATTGATAACAACCGGTAAAACATTATGTCTGTCACCAACCAGGAATTATGTTCTTGCTAGCTAAGGCAATCCCAGGAATTCAAACTAGACAGAGAGAAAAGCAAGCATATTTCATTACATTTAACTCAATGCATAGAACAAATGAGAAAATGATTTAACAAAGAATAGTAATAATTCATTTGACATATTTGAGGACCTGAGTTTCAGACACTTTGCTAAGTATAGATATAGAAGTGAACAAGAATAAGGAAGCCTCTGCCTTTATAAAAGTTACATTTGAGGGGCTAGGGCTGTGGCTCAGTGGTAGAGAGCTTGCCTAGCAAGTGTGAGGCACTAGGTTCAATCCTCAGCACCACATAAAAATAAAGGTATTGTGTCCATCTACAATTAAAAATATATTTTTTAAAAAAGTTATATTTGAGAGTTTGTGTGAATTAGTGAGAAGCAACCAATATACAAAAAAAAGTAAAAAATGTTAATGTAATAGAGTAATAACTAGGGGCATATTTAAAGTAGGATGGTTAGAAAAGGTCTTCAAGGAAGTGACATTTGAAAAGAGACCTGACAGATGAGAAGGAACCAACCATATGAGTGTTTACACAGAAAAACAAGCATGTATAAAGGTCCTGAGGTGGGGAAGGGAGGGGGTATGGAGTTATAAATGATGGTAGAATGTGAAGATCATTATTATCCAAAGTACATGTATAAAGACACAAATTGGTATGAATATATTTTGTATACAACCAGAGATATGAAAAATTGTGCTCTATATGTGTAATAAGAATTGTAATGCATTCTTCTGTCATATATTTAAAAAATGAAGTAATTGGGGAAAAAGAAATTTATTGCTGCTGTTTTGTATATATTATCATGAATATCAGTTTAAGAAATGTAAATAATATTCCTAATTAGAATGCTTGTATAATTTTATCAAAATGGACTCTACCGTCATGTATAACTAAAAAGAACCAATAAAAAAGTATGCAAATGGGGCTGGGGATGTGGCTCAAGCAGTAGCACGCTCGCCTGGCATGCGTGTGGCCCGGGTTCGATCCTCAGCACCACATACAAACAAAGATGTTGTGTCTGCCAAAAACTAAAAAAATAAATAAATATTTAAAAAATTCTCTCTCTCTCTCTAAAAAAAAGTATGCAAATAAAAAAATAAAAATAATTTAAAAAAAGGTCCTGAGGTAAGACAGACTTGGATGAGACCAATAACAGAAGTCAGCATGTCTGCAGCATGTTAAAAGGAAAACAATCCAGATAAATCTGGAGATAAAGGCAGAAACAACCATCATGAGGAGATAAAATTTTATTCTAAGTGTAAAGAAAACTCACTGAACGAGGGGAGTGGAATAACCTGCTACATTTTTCACAGGTCAGTCTGGCTCCATGGTAGGGTGGATGGTAGAATGAGAAAAGTAGAGAATTAGGAAGCTACTGCAGTAGTCCAAAGAAGGGTAGCATGGCTTACACTAGATAGTGGCAGTCAGAGAAAGTTTCTGAAATGAGAGAACTTATGTGCTAACGAAGTGAATATCAAAGTTGGAAAAAGGAGTAAAAAGGGATGATAGCTAAGATTCTGGGATAATCAACTAGTGCCAGTTAGTGTGAAAGACTAGGAATGAGGAAGGAAGGAAGGAAAGAAGTGAGGAAAGACAATGAGCGAAAGGGTAGGCATAGAGGAATGGACAACTAAATGTTACTCACTTAGAAATGCCAAGCAACAGCTGGATATATAAGATGGCAACATGGTAAAGAGTTAGGGGTGTCCTTACCCTTAAATACAATGCTTAAAACCCTGTCATTTAGAGAGGAAGGAGAAGAGCACCCGAGGTTCCCCAGTATTTACAGACTGGAACAAGAAGGGAAGGACAAGCGATAAGAACAGAATACTGTGGTGGACTTAAAGAGAGCATCCAGATAAAAAGAGAACTGGCTACAGAGATGGAGAAAGAGTAGTCAGTGCACAGAGAAAAGCCAGGCAGAGGCATGTCACAGATGCCAAGAGAAGAAACTGTTTCAAGAAGAGGTTAACTGCAGAGGCTGGGGATATAGCTCAGTGGTACAGCACTTGCCTGGCATGCATGAGGCCCTGGGTTTGATCCCCAATGCCACAAAAAAAAGGGGAGGTGAGGTGGTGTTAACTGCAGATGGTGTTGAACAATCTGGCAAGACAACCACGTGTCCAAAGGGATGCGAAAACATAAAGGCCTTGATATCCTCAAAAAGGAAACATCTTCAAGTATTAGGGATAAAACAAAATAGAGCAAATTGAAGAGTAGACAAGACAAGGGAGTAGACAGCTCCATTACATTTTACTCTGAAAGGGAGTAGAAAAATGAGACAGCAGAGAAAAATGTGGGGTAAAGCAAAGTTGTTTGCTTTTTAAAAGATGGGAGTTATTAAAAGAATGTTTTCTTCTGGTAGGAATGGCCCAGCAGAAGGGAAAGGGGCCAATATCAAAGAATGGAATCCTTCAGAAGGAAAGAAGAGATGAGCCCCAGAGTCCAAGAGAAGGATAGCAGGCCTCAAGCTTCCATAGGTGGTCTGGTGGAGATTTAAGTATCAGATATCTTTCCCTGGGAAGGAGAGGATTGTCAGTCATGTAGGCTTATCATTTACACACCCAAGTCACAGTTGGTAAGCAAGCAAACATTTCTACAAGACAACAAATATAATAGGTTAGAAAAGGAAAAAGGTATAGGCTAGCAGCACTAGCCGAAATAGAAACTAGACTAGGAAGGTAAGAGGTGAGCTGAGTCTTGGGGGGCGGGGGGAGTAAATTTTGGACAGAGACAAAGTGATGGGAAACACAAAAGAGAAAGGATAAAATAAATATGACCATGATATCTGCTTGGGAGCACAGTAAGGAACCCGGCACAAAGCCAAAAAAAATCTATAATGAACGCTGGGAAGTAGGAACTGAAGTAGAGCCAGACCACAGAGACTAATACTTGGTCTGATGTGGTCAGTTATACAATGAGTTACTATAGGCTGAATGTGACAAAGACGGGATTTTAATAAAATTTAGCAGCAAAACAGAGGACGGCTTTAAGAAACATAAGAACGATCTACTAGCAGACTATACTAGCATTAAAGTACAAGAAGATTGAGGCTGAAGACACCGGGAGTAGTAAACATGGGCATCAGGGCAGCACATTGACAATAAAGCCACTACCACCTCCACTATCAGCATAATGACCCACAGGTGGCTCCCCATAAGTCCATGCTGTCATCAGATCTGCAATCAATGCAGGCGCAAACTGCATGGCAAGAGAAACCTCATACAAGTGGAGACTGATTATCATGGCCACCTTGTGGTTGCCACCATGCCTCACCTTCCTGGTCGTTGGTATCTATAAGCTTCTCCACACAACTAGTCTTTCTATAATCTCATATAAATGTAGCCAATTTCTCTTCATGGCCCACGCCCCCTGCAGACTTCTCTACTGTACCCTACAGACTACCATTCCCACAACAAATACCCACCCTTCCCAAGGGAAATGCAGCCTTCATAGGGGAACTGCCACGCCACACAACCCTGGGCCACCCACCTAACTGGCTATCCTCCTAAATTCCCAACCATTACCATCTAGTCATGCTCAAAAAGCCCCCACTCCTTCAGACTAAGGCTAGCAGGCACCCCAACAGGTCAAGGCTCCCCCACAGACAGGTTCTGAATCCATAGCATGCTCCTCTGTCACTTTCCACCCACCTCCTTTCTTCCCTCCCTCTAAGCAGCCTGTCTCAGCTCCTTCCTACCTTTACCTGCAACTCTCTGCTGGTTCACAGTGCATCTCTCCACTAGAGTCCCATCCACCTCCGCCTTCCTTTTCTGCACCCCAACCCCATCAACTGTCCTCTCTTCACTTCACGTACCTATGTTGTTTCTGTGCCACCTGGCTCTTTCTCAGCATTTTAATATGCTCAAGTCTCTCTCAGGTGATTTAAGACATGAAATAAAAACTCCACAACTTTCTTCAATTAGCTTTTCTTTTTCCTCTTTGTGATACTGGGGATTAAACCCAAGGGCACTCTATAACAAAGCCAAACCTCCATCCCTTTTCATTTTATTTTTTTATGATTTTATTTATTTATTTATTTTCATTACAATTCCTTTTTATTTTTTGAAGACAGGGTCTCACGAGGTTCCTGCCTCATCCTCCCTGAGATTATAGGCATGCACCACTGCACCTGGAGTGATTTAGAATTTTTTAAATTAAAAGATGCTAATTGAGCTAGATTGTAAGTTCAAGGCCAGCCTTAGCAACTTATTGAGACCCTGTCTCAAACTAAAGAGGGCTGGTGATGTAACTCAGTGGTAGATTTCATTCTCCAATACCACACACACACAAAAAAAAATCTAAATCACAAAGTATAGTCTTTGCAAAAACTCAAAAACAGGAAGGAATTAAGATTTCCCACCACACAATGATCACCAACACTGGTGCTAATGGTATTTTAACACAATTTTTGTTTCTACGGCAATGGCTGCCCTGATGACACTGATACCATATGGATCTTCAGTCTTAATTTACTCATTCCTGAGTACCTGGGCAATCTGCCAGGCAATTTTTAAACAGAAATCCATTCTTGAGCTGGGGATGTAGCTAAGTGGTAGAGTGCTTACCTTGCATGCCAAAGGCCCTGGGTTCAATCGCCAAGCCAAACACATATATGCAAAACCCTAGCAACCTGTCATTTTCACTTGACAATAAATTAGTAAACAGAAAGGACTGCATATACTGTTTTATACTTAGATCTCTCCTTAACTTACAGCATTCAGGCATCTGTCCCACCATAACACTGACACTGCTCTTGCCAATAACACTCTAGTTGCTGGTTTCCAAGGACATTCTCCTGGCACTGTAACACTTGACCTCTCAACAGTAATTAACAGCCAATCATTTCTTCCTACCCACATACAAGGTCCTCTATGACTTCTTTTCTAAACACCTCTTTGCTGATCCCTCTCCTCTGCCCTGGTCCTCAGAACTTTATGAAGACAATTTCTCTCCTTCCATACACTCACCCAGGGTGATTTCAGTT